AAAAAAAAGATTTATTGATTTTTATTGGAAAGGCAAATTTATGGAGAGAAGGAGAAAGAAAGATCTTCATTCCGCTGGTTCACTCTCCAAATGGTTGCAATGGCTGGAGCTGAGCTGATCTGAAGTCAGGAGCCAGGAGCTTCTTCCAGATCTCCCATATGAGTGCAGGGTCCCAAGGCTTTGGGCCATTCTTGACTGCTTTCCTGGGTCACAAGCAAGGAGCTAGAAGGGAAGTGGAGCAGCCAGGACACCAACTGGCACCCATATGGAATCCCAGTGCCTGCTATCATGCAGGGCCCCACTCTGTGGTCCTTTAAAACCCAAGTTCGACTATTATCATCTTTTGTTTGGGGCTGCTCTCTTGGATCCAACACCCATGAAAATCTAAATTTGCTTCTCTCTCTCATGTAGGAGCAAGGAGGCACAGCTCCAACGTGAATACTCCCTCCTCCCAGGGTGTCACAGAATCCCTGGTTCTGCTAGGCCAACCTCAGCAGGCACCTTTGTTCTTGCAGGTGTCCCCGAGGTCAGAGGCAGGCTGCAGCATGTCTGGACACATTGGCTGTCAGCCCCAGTTGGCTGTCTGGCAGTGCAGGAGGTCTGACGTCCAGTGTCAAGTGGTGGTCTGCAGGTGAGCCACAGGTGAGCCACAGGTGAGCTGGCACACAGACGGACGGATGCCTTGCCCAAGGTAGAGGACGGCTCTGCCCAAGGTGGAGTCAGCTCTTGAGGTGCTGACTCCAAGGCCTGACCTGGCAGAGGATACCTCGCAGCTGCTGCATCACTTCGGAGTGATGGATGCCAGGGTGTCCCTCTCAGTCTAACAATTGTGGATTTTTTGTTTGTTCTGCCTTTTTTTTTAAAAAAAGAAATATCTTTGAATCAAGTTTCTTGCGGCGGGGGGGGGGGTGGTGCAGTGTGTGAACATCTTCAAGCTCTCCAATCATCTTGCAAACTGCTCAGCCACCCCGACACTTGCACCAATGCAGAAGGGACAGCAACTCCCCCGGGTGGTGGCCAGATGCAGAAAACGCCAAAACAAATGTTACAGCTCAAAACTGATTTCTCTTTTTCAATGAGGGAGTCAAGGGAGGGGCCATGCCCGAGAGAGGCATGTGTTGGCCTAGGAGGAGCTGAAGTTCTCTGTCTAGAGTTAGCAGGTACAACTGAGGACGCAGTGACGGGCGGCTTTAGAGAAACACCCAGCACGTTTTCAGTCCATGTCTCAGTCATCGCGTGAGATGCACTCACACTGTAAGCTTCACCTTTTATTGTTTCCCTGAAGCGTAAATGTAAGAGCTTTCTATATTCTTTCTGGTTAAATCTGTTAAGTCTACCTTAACCCTATACACCATTCTGAAAAGTTTAGAAAATATACTTTATGCAAAAACAATGTATGGGATTTTTAAAAGAGAAAAGTTCCTATCACACAAGCCTATCTTTGGACTCCAGCTTCTCCCTGAACTTGGTGAGGTGCCCTCTTATTCTGGCTACTTCTTCCTTTCCAACACTGCCATGGGACGTCCCACCTGTCACTTATAAACACCTATTATATGCAAAGCGCTTTCTCTGCCTAAATTCATCTTATCTTCTCAAGAATCCCACTTGTAACATGGCTTTACACAGCACAGGGGGAATCACCTTAGCATGTTCTGTTGACAACTCGAGCCAGGTTTGGCTGGGTGGTCCTAGTTTGGGTCTTTGACGGCCCACATACATCTTTGGCCTTCTCACGTACCTGGCACGTGGGCACTGGGTGTGGACAGGAAACCTTGACTCCAGTATCCTCCCCATTTCACACACGGGAGAATAGAGGCTTAGGGACAGTAAGAGCCCAACCAGCCTAAGTGAGCTGGGTGGCCAGGCTGCTTGGCTGCAGGCTGGAACCCTCAACCCCCGCTCACTGCATCACAGTAAAGGGACTTCGTGGGCATCCTAAAGGAAATGCTTGTGGTTGGCCCCTGTGTGACTTCAAGAACCACAAAAGCTAAGAGGGAGTAGCCCTCAATTCTAGGAGCCCCGGGATAGAATGCTGGAAGGCCGGGACCAGAGCTGGTTCCCGTAAGAGGATGAGGCATGTCTCATGTGGATTGGATTTACTTTCCGCAGAAAATTCAGAAAGAAGACCCAATGCAGGCTCTGTCAGAGCAATAGTCATCTCAGAATTTATGGAGTCCACATCTCCAAGTGCCGACCACACAGCACTGCAGGTGCAGAAATGGGGACGCCAGAGGAGGATTTAATTGAGGCGCCAGTGGAAACCGCTCAAATCCCGTTGACCCAAGCCTTCGTGGTGACTGAACCCTGAGCCGCCGGGAGGCCTCCAGGCGGAAGGCCTGGCTCCCTAATCCTTCCCACAAATGGTGTCTTCTGTTCTTCTTGCACATTCCCGTGGCTCCACAGGGAACCAAGGCTGGGCAAGTGGGGCAGCTGGGGCAGGTGGCAACCCCTGCGCATGGCTCCGGTTGCAGAAGCTCCAAATCCTAGGGTTTTCTGAGGATTTTTCCCACCATCTGGCCCAGGAATTCCCAGCCCAGAGCCAAAGTGTCCTGTTTCAAATGTTCCCTGTGTCCTTGGAGGATCTGCTGGCGGCCCATCTTTCCCAGGATGTTTTAATCCTCTCCCACGGGGGCCCCAGCTGTCCTCCAGCAGGAGCTGTCTGTCAGGAGAGGGGTGTCTGCCCAGCCCCTCAGCCAAGTCCCATTAGAAAAACCCAAGGCCTGGAGCCCCTCCAGTCATGTTCTGTCACTCTCCCTTCAACATTCCAACAGAGAAAAAGAGGGGAGTCGAAGTTCTGAAGAAAAGCCTTCTTGTACCCTTCCACTCTTGGTGGTTATTCATGTTAGCCAGGTGACCACGAGGCATGGCATCAGACAGTAGATCAGGAGCGAGTTTGTACCTGAATGATCCCAAAGGGTTAGCCAAACTCCTTCCCTTCTCTTGCTCACATCTTCTTGATTTTTCCGCCCTTGGCAAAGCTGGTTTCCCACACCACAGGATTCTTCCAATCAATCAATCAACTCCTCCTGAACTTGGCTCTGTACTCCAGATCACCAAGAACTCCCAAACCAGGTGTCCTCCACATGTCCAGCACCCCGAGGTGCGGCATCTCCGTGAACCTGCCCATCAGCACTGTGAGGAAGGCACTGTCATTCTGCCCAGTTGGATAGGCAATTGGAGCTCAGCTCTGGTTGATGCGGTCATCTGCGGAGTTGGAAGATCTCTCTCTCTCTCTCTGTAAAAATCTGTCTTTCAAATAAAAATCAATTTCAAATAAAAATCAATTTTTGAGCGCCCCCTGCAGTGGAGTGCAGTCACTAGTGACCTGAGCTTTAGCCTGCTGTTCCATGTAACGAGAATACCATAAGAAGCCCAGCCCATGGAGTCCAGGGGGCATCCCTTGTTGCCCTGTCCCCAGGCGTGGCTCTCGTGGCTCTGTGCCGTCCTCCCTCGCTGCCCTGTTCCCAGGCGTGGCTCTCGTGGCTCTGTGCCATCCTCCCTTGCTGCCCTGTCCCCAGGCGTGGCTCTTGTGGCTGTGTGCCATCCTCCCTTGCTGCCCTGTCCCCAGGCGTGGCTCTCGTGGCTCTGTGCCGTCCTCCCTCGCTGCCCTGTCCCCAGGCGTGGCTCTCGTGGCTCTGTGCCGTCCTTCCTGAGTTGCATCTGTCACCACAACATTATTTGCACATGTCACTCATTTTGCTGAGTTCTGGGAGTTGTCCAGGCAGGTGATGGCGGGTATCCCACAGAGCTTTCAACTTAATCATCAGCTGGGCAGAAAGAGGGGTCCTTTGGGACCTTTCTGTGGCTGGTGTCAGAAGAGGGGGAGCCTTCTGTCACATGCAGCTGGCACCCTCACTGGAGGGCTCTGACACCACCTGCAGGCAGGTAGCGCCAGATATGGACTGAAGTGGTGTGCACCCAGCTGGTGTTGGAGGACTGGGAAGTTGGTGTGGAAAAGACAACAGGTATCTACTGTCAGGACAAGACCCACGTGCTGAGTGATTGAAGTGGCGTCAGAAAAAAGGAAGCCATGTGCAGCATGCTGAGAAGGCAGAGACTGTGCCCAATGACACAGGGACGTAAAAGAGCAATGCCGTCAAATTCCCTAGCGGCAGGAAGTTAGGCAGGGCGGACGGAGATCGGGATGATGATGGGACTTCTGTATACAGCATTTTCCATAGTTTTAATTTTGATCATGTAAGGGTTTATTAGACATTCAAACTAAAAAATATTTGGGGGGCCAGAGCCATGTCATAGTAGGTTAAACCTCTACCTGCTCCGCCAGCATCCCACCTGAGCTCCAGTTTGAGTCTCAGCTGCTCCACAATGCATCCAGCTCCCTGCTTAGAGCCTGGAAAATGAGCAGAAGCTTACCTAAGTCCTTGGGCCCCTGCACCCATGTAGGAGACCCAGGAACTGCTGACTTCGGTCCAGCTCAACCCCAGCCATTTGACTTTTCAGAAAGTAAGCCAGTGGATGGAAGATTTCTTTCTCTACCTCTGTTCTTCTCTACGTTAATCTATCTTTCAAATAAAAAAAAATCTTTTAAAATAATTTTTTTTCATTAACTTGCTAGGCATGTTAAATTCATCACCACTGCTTGCCATTAACTGATGATAGAGTGGCATGATGAGCATTGGGAGGTGAGGATGAGCTTTGCAGAGTGAGCTGTGTGAGCCAGGCCAGGCACCCAGCCTGATCCATGCGCTGTGAGCCATGCACCGGGTGAGGCACCTACCCCAACTACACAGTGTGAGCTGTGCAAGCCAGGTCCAGCACCCATCCAGGTTCTAGCTTTCTTAGTAATCCATGACATGAGAAGAATAATAGCATCCCTATAATGGGCGATGCAGAGGGCTTAGGAAGATGGCTGGGGTCCTAATAAATGAGTCCCAGCAGCAAGGCTTCTGGGCTCTTCACACAGCCCTTCACACAGCCCTTCACACAGCCCTTCACACAGCCCTTCTCACAGCCCTTCACACAGCCCTTCACACAGCCCTTCTCACAGCCCTTCACACAGCCCTTCACACAGCCCTTCACACAGCCCTTCACACAGCCCTTCACACAGCCCTTCTCACAGCCCTTCTCACAGCCCTTCTCACAGCCCTTCACACAGCCCTTCACACAGCCCTTCTCGCAGCCCTTCACGCAGCCCTTCACGCAGCCCTTCACGCAGCCCTTCACGCAGCCCTTCACACAGCCCTTCACACAGCCCTTCTCACAGCCCTTCACACAGCCCTTCACACAGCCCTTCACACAGCCCTTCACACAGCCCTTCACACAGCCCTTCACACAGCCCTTCACACAGCCCTTCTCACAGCCCTTCACACAGCCCTTCACACAGCCCTTCACACAGCCCTTCACACAGCCCTTCTCACAGCCCTTCACACAGCCCTTCACACAGCCCTTCACACAGCCCTTCACACAGCCCTTCACACAGCCCTTCACACAGCCCTTCACACAGCCCTTCACACAGCCCTTCACACAGCCTCACAGCCCTTCACACAGCCCTTCACAGCCCTTCACAGCCCTTCACACAGCCCTTCACACAGCCCTTCACACAGCCCTTCACACAGCCCTTCTCACAGCCCTTCACACAGCCCTTCACACAGCCCTTCACACAGCCCTTCACACAGCCCTTCACACAGCCCTTCACACAGCCCTTCACACAGCCCTTCACACAGCCCTTCTCACAGCCCTTCACACAGCCCTTCTCACAGCCCTTCTCACAGCCCTTCACACAGCCCTTCACACAGCCCTTCACACAGCCCTTCACACAGCCCTTCACACAGCCCTTCACACAGCGTGCTCCGCACTGCTCCTAAGACAGTCTCTGAGTGACAGTCCTGGACAGGATACTAGACTCAGAATCCAAATAGGAGGAAAAAATTAAACCTAACATACAAGCAAAGGAGGAATGGAGAAAATACACACTTTTAGAAAGGTTCAACTAAAAGGTCAACAGCAGAGTAACAAGTCTCAGTGTAAAGGGTAGAAGTTGTTTAGAAATAAAGAGGGAAGGTGTGTATTTCTAAAAAAAGGCATCCCAGGTGCTCACTGCTACAAATTAAAGGGGAAATGAAGCTGTGGCCCACCACGTTCTGATAAAAGCATCAAAGAACAAACAGAAAAGTAACACACATGTCACCAAAGAGAAGGAAAAAGCATCTACAAAGAGCTGTCAGCTGGCCCCAGCCACGTCCTCACCAACAGGGGCTGAGGTCAGAAGCAAGGGTCCCTCCACAGCCGGGCACTGCAGCGTAGACACCATCCCCAGCAAAACTGGCACTTAGCAACTCAGAACAAACGACCATGCAGACAGACGTGGCACTGCCAGTCTCCTAACCCTGTGGTTCCCTGTGTAACTTTCTAAACAGTCTGATGAAGCATGGCCATGTGTGTTCGTGGCTTTGTGCTCGTGTGGACATGTGTGCTCATGGCCATGTGTCCTTGTACACACATGTGCTCATGGCCATGTGTTCTTGCATGCATGTGTGTTCCTAGCTGTGTGTCTTCTACACTTGCATTTGTGCACGTGTGTGTTCATGGACATGCATGTTCATATATATGTGTGTCCCTGCCCATGCTGTCCATGCCAGCTTTCAGAACTCCAGGGCAGAGGGGTTTCCCCAGACAGCCGATGGCCTACAAAGCCAAAATACAATTTAACAATGACAGCAAAATCATAACATGCTCATTGCTAATAAACTGGTATAATAATGTCAGGAACAATTCCCGCATGTGTGGGAGCCGGTGTTTCCAGGCGTGTCTACCCACCACATCTACTTCAAGTGTTGGGGTAGAATGGAAGGAGTTAAAAGGCAAGTTCACTTTAGGGCAGCAGTTAGCCCCATTGGTGTATGTTCCAAGAGTTTTCTGAAATCCCCTCATTCTGGCCCAGCATGTGGTGTGAGGCAGAAAGCCCAGCTCCCAGACCTCCGGGTGGCTCCTCTCTGCCTTAGTGCTGCAAAGGTGGTCCAGCACTCCCACCTAGGGTGTGTCCAGAGTCAGCCAATCCAAGAACAGCCTCCACATGATGGGCCAGCCTGGCCTAGGAGCCTTCTCTGCCCTGGACACTGAGCCCATTTGATCCCTGCCCACCTCCGGCATGCAGGGAAGGGTTAAGAGTCACAGGTTGGCTTCCTTTCCTTGGGTCATGGCCCTGGCCACGCACTCATTCCTCACGGCTCTCATTTTCCGTCTATAGCCACTTTCCTCCTTCTAGGACCCTGACCTCCGGCCTTTCCCCTGCTTGGCTCCTCCCGGACAGCTCCCATTCCTGGGGTGCACCTCTAACACTGCATGGCCAGACTGACTCTCACCCAACTCCTCCACAAAGCTTTCCCCAACAGCTAGGCCAGACACCCCTCCTCCCAGGAGCACTGTGGCTCAGCCAACTATGCCATGAATCATGCCTTTCCACTTACAGAACGCAGTGTAGACACTCATCTCTGTGTCCAGATGGGTTTTCCTTTTACCCTGCTGCCCTTTCTGGGAATGGTACACATCTCCAGCCAGGGTACCTGAAGGGGAGGACCAGGCAGAATGTCCCCTCATCAGGACAAAAGGAAGCCTGTGAGACACAACTGGCAATCCTACAGGTGTTGCAAGCACACAGGCTTGGAGACTGAGCCGACCCTGGGCACCAGCATTGCCCCCACTGTTTCCTGCCAATCAGACAACTAACAATTGGCAGATGGCAACTTCCTGTTGGAGGTCAGTCCCAAGCGAGAGGGAGGAAGAGAAGGACAAGAAGAGAAAAGGAAAAGAAGGGCAGAGGAAGATGGATGGGGGCCCAGCAAGGTCTTGCTCAGTGGATCTGGTCCCGTAGCCCACAGGGCTCTGCTGTGAACTTCCCATGCTCCTACAGCTACTGTTTATCCCCTGACCTGGTCATTTGCTTGGTCCCTCAGTGTGGAATGCTTGGGGGAATGAAGGAGACTGCCCATTTCAAGCATGACTGCTCATTCATTCTGTTCCTCGGTGGCGGCTGATGCTTGGGATCTCCTTAAATCTCAACATTCTGTGTGTTCCTGCCCACAAAGAAATAGCATTTTCAGGGACAGGAGGGCCCAAGCAGACTCGCAGTGTTCTGCGCTACAGGTAGCTTGACTGGCTTTAGCCTTAGCTACACAGGAATCACACGGAAGTCTCAAGGTTTGCCGAGCTGGAGCCTCCCGGGGTAGAGTGAGAGAGAGAACTATTCTAACAATTCCTATGGGTCACAATTAAGTCCACTGAAATGTTTAGCCAAAGGAAAGGGCTGGTGACCAGTGTAGGGCAGGTTTGAAGCCTTGGGCTGACTTCCTGTGCATGCCACCCAGCGTCACAGCCATTTTAGCCAGGAGGACCCCGAGGCTGAGAGTTCAGGGAGTGGGTGGCACAGCGAGGACTCCACACTGCTGAAGCCCTCTGAAACTCTCCATCTTTCAGAGCCAGAGGTTGCAGTGTCTGGAGCTGGTCCAGCTCACACTGTGTGAGGCACCACCTCCCTAAGATGTCAGGAGAGGCCACGGAATCTGCAACATGGGTTGCTTCGGCCTCTGGACCTTCCTTCTGTCCTCCTGGCCGATCCGCGGCAGCTCAGAGTGCCACATCCACCCAAGCTGGTGTCTCACAGGAACCCACCCTGCTCCCCATCCTGCAGGATCAATGAGTGCGTGGACAAGAGAGGGCAGGAATGAGGGAAATCCGACTCCTTTCCGATGGCACTGCCCTCCTGGGCACTCTGACCACTCCGTCCACAGAATCCTGCACAGCAGGGCCTGTTGCTCTCCCTGGATCCCTGTCCCTAACCCCTGCAGGGCCAGGAGATGCTGGCAGAAGGACCCAGCTCTGCCTACACTGACCTCTCTCCAGTCGCCACAAATGCCTCAACTTCACATGAACCCCAGAGTCTACTCCTTCCTTAATACTTAATACCAGTCCTTGTTTCATTCCATAATTGGCTTTCCACAGAGTCTACTTCCTGAGCCAGAACTCTCTCCCAGCCTCCCAGGCGGTCCACGGTTAAGCTGACGTGTGACCATGCACATACCGACGACCAGAAGAAAGCCCACACATCAGAGTAAACTTTCAGTTTTTTATTGCAGTTGGTCCTTTCTGAGTACTATTGTGTTTGCACAATGAAAGGATTTCTCTCTGAGATATCATCTCGCCACGGTGCCAAACAGTGCATATACGCTTTAAAAATGTGATTTGAGTTCTAAGGAGCGTGAGTTTGGGCGCAGAACGATGCTGTGTAAAATCCCTACGCACACTGAGCAATGTTACATTGAACAGACCCACATGAAGCAGTGGAAGTGGAGAACAGTCGTACAATAAATAATCAGCTCTCTAACCTGCACAGTCCTGCCGGCTAATCGGGCCCGCCACCCCTCCCCCACAAAGGCATTCACTCCTACACCTGCAATAACTTAAGATCCTCATGGTGAGTTTAATATTGGGTCAGACCAGAATCCCCTCACACACCATCTGAAACTGCTCCAGGCGTGCCCTTGGCACACGTTCAAAGGCTGGCCGTCCCCTCCTGGTGGCCACCTCCCCCAGTGTGGACACGACACAACCCGGCCACAGCTCCATGCACTTCCACACGCGTGAGTTCAGCACAGCCAGCGGAGAGCAGCTGCGAACAATCTGGAACTGTCGGGCGCGGCAATTCCCAGCGGGTGCCAATTATATAGATAAATAGGAATTTACATAATTTACAAAGAGTGTGTTTCTGGCTTATTTGGAAGGCACGCCTGCAAAGAGCTGCAGTTACTCATGAGAGCAGATAGTCGCCCTTAAAGGCCTTGCCCTGGGCTGCTTTTCAGCCAGCTTCCTGGATACGGGGCCTGGGAACCCCGTCGTGCTTGGGCCTGGGTCTACAGGGACCACAGTCAGCAGCTGGACAAGAGCCCGTGCTCCCCTGTGCGTCTCGGAGTTCAAAGCCGGCTTACAGCCACTTTCTCCTTCCCGTCGGCTCCTGGATGGTTAAGATCCAGGCCCAGGCCCACACACTTCCCAGCTCCCACCACTCTGGGAGGGAGTACGGAAGTCGGCATGCTGGGCCCATCCACAATGAGACAGACCCGCGTAGACGTCTACACAGAGTGAGCCTAGGGCCCCACGTCCCTTCCAGTGGCCTGTCACAGCCAGTGAGCGACTTGCAGCCCTCTCCAAAAACAATTTCCGGTGCGCAGGAAACCGGAGCTGTGGGCGTCAGGCCCCAGGGCACATCTGGGATCGTTTGACCCAAAAAGGGGGACGAGGCCATTTGGGGTGGGGCATTCCCAGAGCAGGGGCGAACAGAGCAGGGACTTGGGGTACATTTTCTGCTCCAGGGGGAAGTTTGAACAATGCTGGGGCAAGGGCTGAAGGCTCCAAGAGCGAGGCAGGGCAGACAGACCTCTCCTCCGAGGGGACTCCTGCCTGGAGCAGGCAGCGGAGCGGGCTGAAGGTGGCTGCTGGGCACAGCTGCGGGTGGTGAAGGTCTAAGGGCCGCTTGCTTCGCCTGCCCTGGACTTCAACCTATCTTGGGAAGAGCAGGCAAAAGAAACACAGGTTACAAAGCGGGGTAGGGGGTGGGGGGCTTGGAGGCTGAGAGGGCACAGCCGCAGCCCACCCCCGCAGCTGCCACAGCTGTCGGCTGATTGGAAGCAGACCCCTGGCTGGGGCCCCCATGCCGTGTGCTGGGGAGGATGTGGAGGTGCAATGCTGGCAGATGCACCGCTCCCCGCCCCCGCCCCCATCACCATCAGCAGCAGGCTGAGGGGGCAGCTCAGGGGGTGACTGGGAGGTGATGGAGGGGCCTCCTCGCCCTGCACGTGAGCCTGGGGAGGCCACCTAGAGGCTTGTGCTTTGAGAGGAAAGCTTCCCAGAGGGTCCTGCCGCCTGCAAGAGCCACCTTTCCAGGCCCCGCTAGGGCGCCTGCATGGCTGGTCTCACTTTAATCATGCTTTGTCCATGCACGGTGCCCTGTGTGGTTCCTCTGAACATATCCCAGGGCCTTTGCTCCAGCTGTTCCTCTTCCAGAAACACCCCTTCCTTGTGCAGCCTTGGCTCACAAGGCCACGAGGTGTCCCCTGGGCAGTGAGGCTGCTCCCCATCCACTCCACCTCAAAGTGCACCCACAGCCAGAGAGCCAAGCACGCCTTCCTGTCCCCCCTGCCCACTGCACGCTGCCTTTGCCATGTGTGTCAGCCTTCCTGCTTGGCCCTGCACAATGCGAGTTCCCCCAAGGACTCCCTCCACCTCCTCAGCTGCGACCCCAGCATCGAGAACAATGAGTGCCCAGCACGTCGCCACACAGGGCTCGGCAAGCCCGTGCTGAAGAAGTGCACCAGAAAATGAAGAAATGCTGTCACAGACAGATCCTGCCCTGGGAGAGGAGCTTGGGCTTGGGGTGAGCAAGGAAAAGCAGCAATGTGGGCCCTCCTGGGACCTCCCTCAGCACCTGGACCCTCCTGCCCACCACCGACTCCAGTTTCATTATGGACGTAGACAGACCCCTCTGCAGGCCCTGGCAGCAATGCGCCACTGGTGTGCCAGCCTCACGGAGGCCGAGTGCGGCTGCACCTTTTCTGGATCGGTCCCTGCAGGACTCCAGCCTCCTCCACACTGTTCTCACAAACTGACATTACCATTGCAGAGGCACAGGTGAAGCCTGAACAGCAACATTGACAAATAAAGCCAAGGTGGCTGCGGCAAACCCTCAGGCTCTCAATGCAAAAACAAGTCAGGTTAAAAAAAAAAGAAGAAGGCAAGAAAGGGAGACTGATGGACATGCTGGGGCAGGCGTGCTGCCAAGCTGTTAGAACCCAGCTCTGTCCAGAATGCGGCTCGGGGAGGCCAAAGACTGCACATGACTCTGGACGCAGAGGGGCTGTGGAACCGTGGAGACTAAACTGCGCAGCTTTGAGGATGGGTGGCCAGCAGGCTAGGAGGAGGCCCAGTGAGCCCCGCCCCACCCCAACCCCAAGCTCCGAGAGATGCAGGGCTGGTCCCTGGATGCAGGGCTGGCCAGCCGGGAAAGTGGCACGGCTCCCTCAGCTTCCGCCAGTTCTCCCCTGCCCTTTGAGACCAGCCTCTCAGACACCCCAAGCTCCCACTGGCTAGACTGACTACCCCCCGAAACCAGCCTCGGGACCTGGAGGAAGGACGCTCACTCAGGTAGCCTCACCTCTTCCAACGCAGATCTGGCTGGGTCCCAGCAGCCCGGCCTTCCTCCACTGTGTCTGGTGCTGTTGCGGTCCGTGTGGCACTGTAGGGAGAGGGCCAGCGGAATGAATCGGCCTGCACCTTCACGGGTCCGACTTCTCCCCCGCCCCTCACCCCAGTGGGCACCTGAGCCCTGTCCCCGGATTCTTGCTGTAGGCACATGCCACAGCCTCTGTGAGCTGACCTTCAGAGTGACGGGCTTCCCTCAGAGAACAACACCTCCATACTCGGTTTGTCAGGAAGAGGAAGGATACAACCTGCATAGAGCTTTCCAGAACACAACTCATGGGACCCTGACGGCTCCACGCCTGGCCTTCTGCCAGCTCACTGAGCAGTGTAGGGTCACCCCAACACCAGCTCTAGGAGGGAGCAGGGAGCAGGGACAGATACCCACCAAGGGCACACGTATGCAGGCTGCAGCTGGGCTCAGCTTTGCCCACTCCTTGCATTGGACATGGCTTTGCAGCTTCTCTCAGGCAGCTGCTCAAGCCAGAAGAGCTTGGATTCAGGGTGCTGGGAGCCACAAGGTCCCATGAAAGAGTGACACTGGGGGGCAGACACTGCATGGCTCATGCCAAGGCGAACGGCATCACTGAGTTCCGGCCCCTGCGGCCAGCAATGGACACAGGTAGGGAGCCTGGATGGTTCCGTGCACTGTGTACTGTTTACGAAGAGGCAAAAACAATGTGCATGGTGGGGAACAAGTCCTCTGGTTTAAACTGGTGGCTGTGGATTCAGGTTTGCATAAAGTGCTGCTTGGACCAGGCAAGACCCCTTTGGAGACAAAGGGCAGGCCATGGTTCTGTTCAATGAGGAAGCAAGGGTGGGACATGCCACATCGTTCGCCCCCAGGCACTGGTGACCCGTATCTCCAGACTTGGAACCCCACATTTCCCTGACCCACAGGACCACTGCGGTCAGCATACAGCCGAGCCTCCCATGCACCTGCCTAGGAGTAGCTCCTGGCATGGCCTCTATGGGCAATTTCCATGTGGAATGTAAGTGGGCTGGTGCTGGCCTACCTGCGGGCATGCACGACTTGGGTGCAGAAGCGTAGGCAGGCCTTGTCTTCTCTCCCGACACAGCTGCAGCGCAGGGGCATCTGGAAGGAGGGCTGAAAACCCCCTGGAAATGGCCCCACGGCCCTCTTGCCCCGGAAGCTTCCTCGGTAGCTGGACAGGCCATAGGGCACAGTCTGTCTGCAAAGCACAGGATAATGTCAGAGGAGCGTGCTCAGGGACTGGCATGGGAAGACCAAGGGAGAGTCTCCGGAACCCATGGGCATACCCTTCCCCTAGCTCTTGTTCTGAGCAGATGGAAGAGGCCCAACTGAGATTCCTGCAGCAGCCCCTGCCTTCTTGGGAGCCAAGCCACGGCCATCCATTCCTAGCCATAGACAGCCACTTCTAGCCTAGGAATGGACAGCCGTTCTAGCAGGCTGTCCCCTTCCCTGAGGTATCAGTACACACTTCCCCATCAGTACACACAGGTGGCAGGTGTGCCCTCCTGTCGCACATGTTCTGTCCCCTACCTCTGAGAGTTGCACCTAGGCTTGTACCACACCCTATGGAAAGGGGGAGATAATTCAGCAGAAGCAGGGCACCCTGGCTGGAGGGTTTCATCACAGGACCAATGGGACAAGCATGTAGAGTGACCCTCACACTGGGTCCAGCCTGCAACCCACACTGTACCTGCTCACCCACACCTGTGAGCCCCTGAGCATCTGCCAAAGCCTCAGTGCCTCTTAGACCCCCCAGCACCTAGGGGACCCCACCACACCACCTAGTCGGCAGTGAGAACTGAGTCAGCTCCGCCTGCACAGCCCACCTCGCCACTGGCCCTGATGACAACACTGCAGACGGGACTACTGGCATTTGCTTCTGAGCATTGTTCCTGTGAGGCTGGCACCAGGGGGGGACGCTGTGCATCTGCCCGGGCAGGCCCACTGGGAATGCAGCTGGTGCTGGGCACCGTCAAATGAAGCAAAGAGGTCTGAAACTGTTTACCAACTGCTGCTCCAGTGACGTCCAGCTCAGAGGGCGATGATGTTGTTCACAACAATGAGCATGGAAATCTGGCTCTTACACTTGTGCATACCCAAACAAGCACTTCCCAGGAAAGAAACAAGGCCGCTGGGCGATGAGGGAGGGTTAAAAGCATATGCTATGGGCCAGTCACGAGAGTAAGCCCATGCGGCCCAAGCCACTTTTTCCAGTAAGAACGGGAATTGGTTTCTCTGCTTGTCTCCCAAGATTCAGTCACCTTGGCCCCATGATGTATCACCAATTATCCACCTCAAAGGGTGTCCTGACATCCTCCCTGTGTTTGTAAAATAAAATCAAATTGAATTTCTTTTTATTTGAAACACACACCATGGAGCCGCATTGGCGCAGTGAGGGCAAATTGGGCAGGGGTGTCCCACAGTGATCTGATGCCCGGAGCTAGCCTCCCGCCCTGCTGGGCTGGAGACGGGTGCCAGGAACTTACCCAGGCCTATTCTTCTCTTGTCCTCCTCCCCTCAAGTGCCTGCAGAAAGCACATTAGAGCAGGCCCCCGACAGAGGCAGGCCCAGCCGCCTGGCAGACCCTGCACAGAGAGCGGAGCCCTGCTCCTGGCCAGCGGAACCCTCGCTAACATCCCTGCTTGTCTCAGGGGTTGGACAAGGGGGGGACGAAGACAATGGTGACATTGTCGTGAGCTGGGATTTGGCTGGAGGTAGGTTCTTCTGGTAACAGGGCCGCCTTAAATCTCCAAGTGTTGACATTAAACCCGGTCCCCCATTTTCTCAGTGAAAACGGCACACACACGTATCCATCAGCGAGACCTGCAATTCTGAAATTACACATTTGCCCGTGCGAGAAGTCAGCCAACTGGAGCAGAAACACCCGGGCCTTCAAGGAAGCAAGCGTGACGAGGTGGGGCTGCACGCACTATGCCCAGCATTCCCAGCACCAGGCCTTCTCCTTTCCCCACCGAGGAGGGGCTGCAGGACCCCCGCCCTGGGCCTTCTGTGTATGTGCACCTTGCCGAAGGTGAGATGAGTGGGACGGAGTGGAAGGCAGGAAGGAGATGGCGTGGACCACATCAGAGCCTGCCCTGATGTCTATAGTGTCAAAGGGAATCTTACAGGTCCAAAAGTGGACAGATGTCAACCCAACTTGAGGAGATTTTACATGCAGGGTTCCATTCTCCTCCCAAGACAACTGTGCCCCACATCCCAGAAGTCCAGCCTTGAATTTGGAATTCTGGGAATCGCTGGAGGCCCACATAGAACCGTGGCAGCCAGCAAAGCAAACAAGGTGGCTCCTTCTCCCTCCTTGCTCCACCTCCTGCCTGGGGAAGAGGAGGCTCATCCAGGCTTCACCCCCTAACTTCCTCTCCACAGCTGCCTCTTGGCCCCTGCAGGACCAGGGCTGTGCACCTGGAGCCCTTGGCTGACCCTGACTTTGAGAATCTAGAAATGCACAGGCCCCAGAAACGGTCTTGGGAAGCTCTGGGTAAGTGACCGCGGGACCCCAGATACCTGGAGCATGGTCTGGAAGAAGGGGTGCATGGCTTTCAACCCAACAGACTCCAGGCAGTGGGATGGGGACATGGGCAGAAGGGAGTCAGAGGTGGCTCTCTGACCCCCAGGCCCGGGGGACAGTGTTTCTTGACCACATCTGAGCGTGGGTTACCTGCTACTTTGGAAGGAATGCTACTCCTTTTGTGTCTGTCATGGATCTAGCCAAGGGCAGGTAAATAAAAAGTGTTGATTGAGCAGCTAGGAGCTAATTGTGGGATAACTCAAACCTAGCAAGATAGAATTCTTTTTTCTCTAAATGAAGACCACAAAGTCATGGCCAGGAATCAGCAATGTTTGTGAAGTCTCCACTAGACCCCTACCTTCATTACAAGTGGATAAGCACACAGGAAGGCATAGTTGTGTCTGCCCACATGAGTGCCCATGCCAGTGGAAACAGGCACACAGGTAAAGGACAAATGGCTAGCCAGTACACACAGGCATGTGCAAGGTACACAGAGCTCAGAGCCACCACCAAACAGTTCCATGAGTGTGTTGTAAAGCACTTACCCGATGGTCACTCCACCCTCTTGACAGCTTCCTGGTTGACTAAAGGACTGTTGGGCAGATCAAATGAGACAGTGCCTGGACAGCACTGAGTGAGGAGTCGGCAGCAAATGCAAGTCAGCCGCCACCGCTGCTGCTCAGTCTGGGAAGTAAGTGCATTGTGCTGGGCAGAGAAGTGCCAGCTAAAGGGCCACCTCGCAGAAGAGAAGTGAGGAGCCAGAAGGCTACATGGCACAGCCTTGCCAGCTTCACCATGCCATTGACTTGCCTGTCTCCTAGCCCTTCTAGTTAAGCTTTGTCATTGCCTGGGCCACCGTTTCCTGAATGGCACCAGGATGGAGCTCATCCCAGCTGTTCCGGCCCATTACTGCACGGCAGCATCTGGAGGGTGCAATTCTGTGAGGAAGCAAGCAACTCTTCCCGCTGTGCACACTTCCGGCATAACCCACAGCTTCATGAAAAAGACAAGCCGACATCAACATCCAACCAAACGCTCTCAGCAGAAACACAGCCCTACAGCACACCACATTTACCACTGCGGGCCACACACCTGCTCTCCGCCTACATGTCCGCTACTTGTTGGGAGGCTGGGAACGACGACGGAGGTCTTATGCCGTGTGTTTATGCCCAAGCATCGGGTGGAAATGCCATGCCACTGTCTGTCCTATGTCCCTTCTCTGCAGGGTCCTGTTGAAAGCACTTTACTCCTCTCTAGGAAATTGTCCTTTTAAAAAGGTTTATTTGAAATGCAGAGTTAGAGAGTGTGAGGTGATCTATCTGCTGTCCCACTCCCCAGACGGTCACAACGGCCAGGGCTGGGCCAGATGGGAGCCAGGAGCCAGAGCTTCCTCCACGTCTTTCACACAGGTGGCAGCCAAGTGCTTTGGCCCATCTGCCATTAACAGGGAGCTGGATAGGAAGTGGAGCAGTTGAAGCATGAATCACGGCCCATAGGGGATGCTGCCATAGCAAGGAGTTGTTTTACTAGCTATGCCACATCTCTAGCCCCCAGAAAAACAAATTTTTAAGAAATGCATGTTTTCAGGTTCTGTATTCTGTCCACTTTTCTCATCCCAAAGCTGGCTTCTGCACCTAGAGGTTAAAGCAGAGACACAGACACTCAGAAAACACACGCAATGTCATCAACCAAATCCCAGAGGCTCAGAAATGATGATGCTCTGCCTGCCCTCTAAAACCCAGCTTGTATGCTCCTACACAGACACACACACGCACGCTTGCGCACATGGGCATACGAACAGATGTGTGCACCTGCACACACACACATCGCTGAGCAGCATTCAACAGACATTTGTTGATTGCTATTCCACATGCAGGCACTGGGCTGGGCTTCGGGTGAGCCCATGAACAAGACCCTGCCCCCCAGGAGAGTTGTCACCGGCACACAGGTCGGAAAATCGGCCTTCTGGAAGCTTCGTTCAGTCTGGAGATTTCACGTAAACATCCCAACTCCCAGCCTGTCCTGCCTAACTGGAAGCAGTGCTAACATCAACGTGCCACTTTTTCCATGATGCCCATCAGCTGGGGCTAAGTGTAAGCACTCCATGTTGTCCCCACCACACCCAGCAGCTCCACACCTGTTGCTCTCCACCCATTTTTATTGCAAGTCTGGCCCTCCCAGGCAGAGGAGTTTACAAGTCCTGAGCTGGTGTTTGTCCCGGAAAGTGAAGTCAGCCAGGTCGCAATACACTCTGGCAAAACGGGTACCTGCTACCACTTTGTCTTATAGATACAGTATTGTTTTAATTTCAGAAGCCCATTTGTATCACTTAGAGCATCCACCTCCACATGCTTTCTAACAATGAGTCCATCTCAGGTTTCATTGAATTCCTCTCTGTGAAGGTACCACTCACCACCTCCCAGGCTAAGAAATGTATTCCTGAGCAGCAGGAAAGCATCCATGCCCTTCACGTACTCTCTCCAACCTTGACCCCCCAAGAGAGAGGCTGGATCTGGCCGGCAAAGCAAGACACAGCAAGCTCATGAGTGGCCACATCTATGGGGCCTGTGAGAGCATCCTGTTAGCCCCACAAGCTCCCAGTGGACACACCCACTACATACCATGCACAGACACATGGGCACACAAGAACGCACACACACACTCAGGATCAG